AGTGTCGCATGTATTATCATGATGGCCCATTTATTGCCCCATGTATTATCATGATGGCCCATTTATTGCCCCATGTATTGTCATGATGGCCCATTTATTGCCCCAGGTATTGTCGTGATGGCCCATTTATTGCCTCATGTATTGTATTGTCATGATGGCCCATTTATTGCCCCATGTATTGTCATGATTACCCATTTGTTGCCCCGTGTAGTGTCATGATTGCCCATCCTGGACACGTGAGGTTCTGTCTCTCCCTTTCCTCTCATGAAGCTGAACTCTGAACATTCTGCTGCCATCTAGTGGCCATGTGCAGAACTGCTGCAGAATTGTTTTCCTCAATGTTCTCCCAAGCCTGCTTTCCCCAGGTCATGGAATAGGTCAGTCAGGAGGTTCCGGTGGCTGTAGATAGGGCCATCCCACATATGTAGTGTCACGATTGTCCGTTGGTTGCCCCGTGCATTGCCAGAATGGCCCATTTGTTGCCCCATCTATTGTCATGAAGGTCTGTTCGTTGCCCCGAGTATTGTGGTGTCATCTATGGTAGTGAGAAACCACAATATTATCTTGAGGTCTATGACGTCATCACGTCTAATACAGTCCATTCACTTGCATTAGATAGGAGGATGCAGAGGCACATACCACAGCTGGAGCGGAAGTGGAGAGAGGTGAGCATTCACTGCTGCAGGACCGAGGATCTTGACTTGCATAGCTCAATACTTGTGTCCTGATGCCATTCATGATGGCCCATTTGTTGCCCCATGTTTTGTCATGACGGCCCATTTGTTGCCCCAGGTATTATCATGATGGCCCATTTGTTGCCCCAGGTATTATCATGATGGCCCATTTGTTGCCCCATGTATTGTCAAGACTGTCCATATGTATTGTCATGATGGCCCATTTGTTGTCCCATGTATTATCATGATGGCCCATTTATTGCCCCATGTTTTGTCGTGATGGCCCATTTGTTGCCCCATGTATTATCATGATGGCCCATTTGTTGCCCCATGTTTTGTCATGACGGCCCATTTGTTGCCCCAGGTATTATCATGATGGCCCATTTGTTGCCCCAGGTATTATCATGATGGCCCATTTGTTGCCCCATGTATTGTCAAGACTGTCCATATGTATTGTCATGATGGCCCATTTGTTGTCCCATGTATTATCATGATGGCCCATTTATTGCCCCATGTTTTGTCGTGATGGCCCATTTGTTGCCCCATGTATTATCATGATGGCCCATTTATTGCCCCATGTATTGTCATGATGGCCCATTTGTTGTCCCATGTATTATCATGATGGTCCATTTATTGCCCCATGTTTTGTCCTGATGGCCCATTTATTGCCCCATGTATTATCATGATGGCCCATTTATTGCCCCATGTATTATCATGATGGCCCATTTATTGCCCCATGTATTGTCATGATGGCCCATGCCTCATGTATTGTATTGTCATGATGGCCCATTTATTGCCCCATGTATTGTCATGATTACCCATTTGTTGCCCCGTGTAGTGTCATGATTGCCCATCCTGGACACGTGAGGTTCTGTCTCTCCCTTTCCTCTCATGAAGCTGAACTCTGAACATTCTGCTGCCATCTAGTGGCCATGTGCAGAACTGCTGCAGAATTGTTTTCCTCAATGTTCTCCCAAGCCTGCTTTCCCCAGGTCATGGAATAGGTCAGTCAGGAGGTTCCGGTGGCTGTAGATAGGGCCATCCCACATATGTAGTGTCACGATTGTCCGTTGGTTGCCCCGTGCATTGCCAGAATGGCCCATTTGTTGCCCCATCTATTGTCATGAAGGTCTGTTCGTTGCCCCGAGTATTGTGGTGTCATCTATGGTAGTGAGAAACCACAATATTATCTTGAGGTCTATGACGTCATCACGTCTAATACAGTCCATTCACTTGCATTAGATAGGAGGATGCAGAGGCACATACCACAGCTGGAGCGGAAGTGGAGAGAGGTGAGCATTCACTGCTGCAGGACCGAGGATCTTGACTTGCATAGCTCAATACTTGTGTCCTGATGCCATCCTCTTACCTGGGAGAATGTAAGGCTCGTGGGGGGTCACAATCATTCCCACATATATTTAGATCGGGGTGGGCAACCTCGCCACTCCAGTTGTGCTAAAACTACAAGTCCCATGGGGCATTGCAAGACTGACAACCACAGGCAGGGCTCCCAGAGGCAGGGGCATGATGGGAATTGTAATTCTCCACAGCTGGAGTGCCAAGTATGCCTACTCCTGGTTTAGATCTTTTGGGTTCCTGGGTCTGCCGTCATGCCTCACCCATTATGAGGGTCTCCATCTCTTGCTGCTGGATTTGTTTCTATGGACTGATCCATTCCACCCGATAATATATATATATATTTTAAACCACATTAGCAGGTGTGTGTTTTCTGATGAGTCATTAGATTTCCTTTATGTGTATAACTTTTCCCGCACTCCGAACACGAATAAGGACGCTCACCTGTGTGAATTCTCCGATGTACGACAAGGACTCCATTCTGCCTGAAACATTTCCCACACACAGAACAAGAATAAGGACGCTCGCCCGTGTGGCATCTCTGGTGTCGAAGAAGGTCTCCTTTCCTAAGGAAACATTTCTCGCACTCAGAACATGAGAAGGGGCGCTCGCCCGTGTGAATGATCTGGTGTTTGAGTAGATCTCCTCTCATAGTGAAAGCTTTCCCGCACTCTGGACATGAGAAAGGGCGCTCGCCGGTGTGAATTCTCTGGTGTTTGTTCAGGCGCGCTTTTGTGATGAAACATTTCCCACACGCTGAACATGAAAAAGGACGCTCGCTCTTGGGACTTCTCTGCTGTCCTAGAGATGTTCGGTGTTCACTTAGAGATTTCTCACACTGGAAAGTTGAAAACAAACGATCGGCTGTGTGATCTCCTTTATGCTGTTCCTTGGGAGCAGATGGATCTGATGACGTCTCCTCACTTCGGGATCTCAGATGGACATCTGGAGTAACAGTCCGTGATCGATGAGAATATTCCTCAGGATTAGAGGGATCCATTGATGTCTCTGAATGGGAAGGTCTGTGATGTCTATTATGAGTAATGGGATTCACTCCCGGAGAATGTCTTGTGATGTCATCATCTTCTGCATTACAATTTAAAGATATAGTAGAACGCTCCTCTTTCCTATTCAGAACGCCGAGTCCATCTGTTGGAAAGAAAGGTTTCAAAAACTTATAAGAAGTCCATTCAGTCATATATACTGAATACAAACCAGATCAATGATACCAAACACCCAAATCCCACCGAGTGACAGAATGTACATCAATGACATCGATGTGGTGAAGACCAGAGATGGACCTTCATATGGTGTACAGTATTACCTCCTCATTTGTTGGTCACATGACGTTATATTGAGGAATGGAGATGGACCTTCATATGGTGTACAGTATCTCCTCATTTGTTGGTCACATGACGTTATATTGGGGAATGGAGATGGACCTTCATATGGTGTACAGTATTACCTCCTCATTTGTTGGTCACATGACGTTATATTGGGGAATGGAGATGGACCTTCATATGGTGTACAGTATCTCCTCCTCATTTGTTGGTCACATGACGTTATATTGAGGAATGGAGATGGACCTTCATATGGTGTACAGTATCTCCTCCTCATTTGTTGGGACATGACATTATATTGAGGAATGGAGATGGACCTTTCATATGTGAATGGCTTCTTCATTATATGCTAATTACTTACTTGTGTCCATATGTAGAGAAGATTCCTCCTGCTTACTTCTCATAGTCATCTCCCCCTCCTCCATAGACTGCTGAGCTCCACTCACCAACGTCTCTTCTTCTTCCTCTTTAATCTCAACTTTGATGTCTTTCAGTTTTCCACCCTAAACCCAGAAAAAGAATAAAACACTGGGCGCCAATAACAAGATACATTGAAAATTTGTTGTCTCAGATCTTAAGCACTTTCGGATTTACAACGTAGCAGATACGTCCTAAGAAAGAAAGTTTCCAGGACGTATCTCCTACGCCAAGCTCCTCTCCCCCTGCCAGTGTTGCTGGCAATTACCGGCTGTAAAAACGACAGCTGAGAATTGCTTTGTATCACATAGCTAGGGACGCCAATCAAAATGTAGCCGCTCCTGCTTGATATGACATCTGCAGAGAGGCTACAAGTGTAATCGAGTAACTACAGTATAATGTTTCACTCACATGTAGATCAAAAGCGTGACATTTAGCTAAAAGAAGCCCAAAATCAGCCCCAATTAACCCCTTCCTCCCCAACTAAAATGATAAATAAGTCATTTTTAAATGATATACACCGAGTTCCACCTACCTGATCATGGTGGGGGATGGTGAGATCTTCCTGGGTGGGATCCCGGGAACACAGAGGACGGGGACATCTCTCTGGTGGGTTCCTCTTACTGGATCCATCTGTAGGAAACACACACACTGACTGAATACATTGTTTCTATGTGTGTATCAGATGATGGGGGATGTAGGCGGAGCCTCCGTACTGCTCTCTCCTCTTACCCGGTGATGTGAGGGGCGGGGCATTCTCCATCACCACGTCCTTGTAGAGATCCCGGTGTCCTTCTAGATACTCCCACTCCTCCATGGAGAGATAGACAGAGACATCCTGACACCTTATAGGAACCTGACACACACAATGATACAGTCACCACCCAGACACACCCCTTGTCTGTTCCTGGACCATGTCCCAGAATTCCCGGCACCACTCACCTCTCCCGTCAGCAGATCAATGATCTTCCTGGTGACTTCTAGAATCTCCTTGGCTCTGGTCACCTCTGTGGTCAGGCATTGGGGTGGAGGCTCTGTGATGGGTGATGTCCCATGAAGACATCTGGTTGATATTGGCTCCCCAGATGCGTTCTTCACTAATTTATAATCCTGAGCAAAGAAAGATAGAAACAATATTACTACTGACCTCCCAGAATCCCCCTCACCTCTCCGTTCAGGTCTGTGTTTTATGTATCACCCTAACCGTCGGGCTCCACTCATCCCAAGACCTCCTGCTCTCCAGCTCCCTTGTCAACTCCACCAATGCCCACCTCCAGGACTTCTCTAGAGTGTCTCCCATCCTCTGGAGTTCTTTACCCCCAACCTGTCCGTCTATCTCCCACTCTGACTGCCTTTAGGCGATCCCTTTGGCTCATCTCTTCAGGGAAGCCGATCCCACCTCAACCTAACCGCTCAACCATCACATTCTCATACAATTCATCCCCCACACAGCTCCCTCCTCATGTATCACTGGCCCCTCCCTTTTAGATTGTAAGCCCTCAGGGGCGGGGCCCTCCTCGCCATCTTGCCTTGAATTGTATTGTGATTGTCATGTCTTCCTTATATTGTAAAGCGCTGCGCACACTGTTGGCGCTCTATAAATCCAGTATAATAATAATAATGAATAGAGATCAGAGTGACGTCATGTGACCTCTCAGAATCCTCCTCACCTCTCCGGTCAGCAGGTAGATGATCTCCAGGGTGAGGTCCAATATCTTCTCAGTCATGTGACTCGGCTCCTCGTCTATCCTCGTTGATGTGGTTATGTGATCATTACAGGACGCTCCTCTCTCCATAGTTCCGACACCTCAGACCGCTTCGGATGGGATAATAATGTTCTCACTTATCAATATCTCCAAGTGAAGAAAAAAACCCCAGAGACCCTCAAAGCCGTAATCATCATCCTCCTACTATCCTCGTATCATTGTACCTGTCGAACATGTTAGTAACCTTGTAAATAATTTTTTTTTTAAATGACAAGTTCTACAGAGGCGTTCTTATGTATTTGTATCATTTGCTGGAGGTAAAAGAATATGGAGGACGGACATGAAGGGGGGGGGTTACCGGGTGTAAATATAAAATATTTTCATACCTCCTGTGCTGCCAGTTCCAGCAATGTCTCCTCTCTACTTCCTCCCAACTCACCTCTGACCTCAAACCTTCTATTTATATGTGACATCACTTCCTGTCTGTGATATTACTTCCCGTCTCCTCCTGGTATCACTTCCTGTCTGTGGGGTCACCTCACATTTAGTGAGATGACCACCTTGTGTGGAATAGGGGATTCAGAATGGGCAGGGTTAAGCAGGCAGTCATGTTCAAAGTCTTTAAGGGGGTCCGTGACATCAGTACCATGTGGAGGGCGTTCTTTGCATCCACCGGACATTGGCTGAAAAGACTTTGCTCTTTGTCGGCAACGCCATAACCCGCCTCCTCCTCCTATCCTCTCCGGAGGTCCCTTTGTAGAGTCAAATGGGTTAACTCTACAATCGGGTACCCCCGTTTACCAATTTAGATTGTGAGGGTCTTTTTTGGGGGGTCCAGGAGGAGAGCAGGTTCTGCATGTGGAGGTTGTAGGAGGAGAGAAGGTTCTGCATGTGGAGGTTGTAGGAGGAGAGCAGGTTCTGCATGTGGAGGTTGTAGGGGGAGAGCAGGTTCTGCATGTGGAGGTTGTAGGGGGAGAGCAGGTTCAGCATG